GAGCCCAAGCAGAAGGAGTAATGTTGTTTTCGTGAAAAGGTCTCAAGATTGTTTAAACTGCAGTATAAGACTTGAGTAGCTTTGTTATATTTACTGGAAGAAACCAAACATAGAAAATGAAGAGATTTTAGAGGTTCACCTGTGTATGAGTCTCCAGAAGTATCATTGAAAAAGTTGTTTGCGATTACCGAAATTGGTATGTTGGAATGTATGATAATTTTAGTATTTAGTATGACACCTACAGAGGACGATGCTTCAAAAAAGTATCCCTGATACACGCAATTATTGGGAAGATGAAACTGCAATTACTTGTTTTAGAACTTTATCAAACTTAATACAATTTATTTAGCTTGAAAGATAAGGCTGTTTTGCTGTAAAACAAGTCAGATAAAAGCTGTAGGTGATTTCAGGCTGTTGAAAGTCGTTGACACTTTCAAAGTACTAGAAATTTGTTATAAAATTCAGGGTTTTTGTTTAATTTCTATCTGTCGGTTTAGAAACAAATGTTGTTGTTTGACCTGATTTCAAAGTAGAGTAGGCAGGTTACTAAACGGCGCATTGCATTTACGTTTTACAGTAAGCGTTTTTAAATTTTAAATTATTGAATTTTTTTATAATTTAGAATTAAATATTTAAGAAAAGCACTGATATTTCAATAAACAAAAAAGATTTTGCTTAAAAATACTTTTAACAACATATCTCATATTGATATTTGACACTCGAGTTTTTCAAAACTACGGTATTTGGCTGCTAGGCTTTTCGCAGTTCTATCTAAAAAGTTTTAGCTTTGAAGCATTTGATTCCACTATGCAGTTCAGAAATTTTTTGCATTAAAAACATGCCGTGGTACTATCCATTGCAGAAACTGTGGTTTGATTTTCGTTTCTCACAGAAGATTGGTTGCTAAGTAGCGTATAGTAAACCACGTCCACATAGGCAGTAACATTTTCATTGACGTTTATCAAAACCAGGGACAAATCTTGGTCAGATCCTTGTGGAGCGTTGTTCCATGGAAAAACGGTCACAAAATCTGTTCCGCTGCTGTCCGCAACATAATAGCTTTCGGCAGCAGCTTTCGCAGCTGTACTTACGACAACAGCTGCTACTGAAAATATATTTCAGATATTTATGAAGTATAAAAAGTAAAATTATTTATAAAATATGGTAGAAAAAACTTATAACACAAAAGCACATCTTCCTCTCTCAATTTTATACTTGGCGAAATTCGTCAACTTGACTGTTATTCACATTTGCATTTGTTGTTAGCAGTAACTACAATAAAAAAAAGAAACCTTGTCGTTAGTTTATTTTCAAAAACTATTAAAATTCAATGTCAAACGTCGAAACGTTTTTTTTCAGTTTACTTGAACTTTGAAAAAGTTGGTACTTAAATATGTAGAACCTAGTTACTTTTACGAAGAACCCTGTGCTATACATAAATATGAATGTGCTTATACATGAGAATAAACATATATTTATTTATCTGTTCAAATATTTGTTTATCTCTATTTACTCGTCTTCAGTTACGTTGCATTGTTGCATTCAAAGAGGAATTTACAAAATATTCAACTTGAAGAAACTTACCGGCAATGTAGAAATAATTAGAAAAATGCTGCATAAGAGCACAATTACGAAACACCAAATAACTGTCAATTTAAGTCGATTTTGGAAGTAGCAAAATTGTTCATATTTGATGGTATTATTCTTATCAATGGTCTTTGTGTGAACAATTCGGTAATAAAGAATTGCTATTTTACATATCAAAGTGCACTAAGAATTTATTAGATTATTGAATTTGTAGTTAAGTAATGCTTTATGTATTTCAAGCTTCAAAAAAGAAGATTATTTAGTTTTTTTATTAGTATTTTCTACTTTTTTTTGTACGTATCACCACTTTTAGGCCTCAAAAACAGCGAAAAATTTTTAAATAATTAGTAAAAGACGTAGCCAACTTACTTTCAGCTACAGTGCTTTATGCTTGATTTAGTTTCGTAAGCGGCAGTAACCTGTCTAAATCATCATTTTGTATTATTTCTTCAAAGTCACATCACATAGTTCTTTATTAAAAATCTGACTTTTCTTAACCTTAATTTTAAGCAAAAAGATTTGCAAAATTGTTAGGAGTACTTGAAAGGGTTAAATTAATAGAATGTATCGTGTTGACACGCTAAACATTTCTGCTTATTAAACAAACTACAAAGTCGGTCGCACATATTCACAGTTTTAAAAAAAAATATAAAAATTTTAATACAGAAAATTAAACATTACAGCATTTTAAAAATTTTAGTTTTGAGTTTCAAAAAAACTAAATTTTATTTTAATAATTCTGTTAAACAAAATAGTTGAACATTTAAAGCAAAATTGTCTAAAAAATCAAAATGATACTGGCAACATCGAATTTAGTTATAAACGAAGGCAACGCTAACATTGTGTTTCAGTCATATTTTGCTGATAAAATAATCCTTCGAGCTGTAATTTAAGATTACTATAAACGTCCATCAAATTGAAAAAAATAAATTCTGGGCAAGAATCTCGTAGAAATGAAAAACTAAAGTGCTCGATCACTCTCATGGGTTTGCTCAAGAGAATACATTTTTTGATCTGATAAGTCTTTATTCTGTTATTCTTTAGTGCAGTAAATTTTTACAGAAAGTATGCTTGTTTCATAATTAATAAGTAAGATCTTCTGAAATTTGTTTATAACATTTATTTTTAAAGTTCAGATCGTTAAACTGCTTTTTTCAAATCATAACTCACGTAAAAAACGTTTTATAAGTTAAGATAACAGATTTTTGAAGTAATGAGACAACTGACTAAAAAAAACAAAAAACAGTGAATTTTTTATAGGTTTCTCTTTTATGCCAAGTAAAAGATTCACTTTCTTGGTTCATCTGTCTATGCCGAGAATGCAGACACAGTTGGCTGTTATTTGCCTAGTCAAATCAATTTCAATTAGTAATTTTTAGACGCATAACTTATAAATATTAACAGCATTCCGGCTTAAACTTTTTAGACTTTTGTTTTATCATTATACTATTAATGTGAAGAATTTAAAAGAGAAAAAATACTTTTATCATCGCCGCATTTCTTTACGAGCCTTAAAAAGCGATTAATTTTACAGTTTATTAGCATTTTTGATGGCTATTAAGTTATTAAAGCACTACAGTTGTTAGTCACTTCATCTTTCATTACATCTTTTCTCCTTCCAACTCATTATTTTTTTTCAAATAAATCTTAAGCCATAAAAAAACACATTTTTTTCACATATTGTTATAAAAATCTTCTATAAATGTCACAAAAAAGTTCTACAAATTGGTTCAAATACATCTTTTAGGCTTAAATGCTTATTCATTGATAAGTGATAAGGCTTTGCTGACTACGGCAAGAATTGGTTGCTTACAACAATCAATGACTCGATAATTAGACTGTTCAAATTAGTGATTAACCTGAAACTTAGAAAACTAACTTTTTATGTTTAATAACAGTTAAATAAACAGTATTAAAGAATTAAAAAGTAAAAAAAGTAAAGGCAGTGATAATAATGTATCGAATAGAATGTGTAACGAAATAAGGATTTACGGCTTTATTTTACATATTACCCGGAAACCTTCCAAAAATAACATTAAACAGTCTAAAAGAAGCATTTCTATTCTATATATAGTTTAACAAATGGATACACTATTTCAGTCGTCTAAATTAAATCTACATAAAAAGAACATAAATACAAAATGTAGGTTAAATGCAACTCATCACAATTAACAATAGAATATGTATCAAATAAGCTGTTTTTACTTACCTCAAAAAATTTGACTGTTTGTTCTGTTTGAAATTTCGGCTTTAATACCCAACCGTACGTCGTTGCTGCTGATCACTACATCTGATAATTTTCTTTACTAGAGCTTTCAGCGATAATTTGCACTAGCTTCTGGAGCGGTTTTTAATGTTTTGCTCGCAAAAATGCGAGTAGTGATCAGATATTGTTCCAGTGAAGAAAGTTACTTTTTGTCTTCTTGAGACGGTGCAACAGGAATTAGAGGATCTAAACGATAAGAGGTAGAAATTTTTTTCTTAGTTTTTCTACACTTTCTTTAAAGTTGCCCAAAATTTTACAGATGTTATTGCGTAAGCGAAAATTAAAGGATGAACAACAGTAGACTCTTTTAAGTTCAGTTTTATTTTTTATTATTATTATTTTTTTATTTATTTCGAACAGAGGAACTAACATCTGACTTTAGAAAACTCAAAACCGAATTGTTGTCTGATAATTCTAATAATCACAGTTAGCTTTCCTGTTTGAAACGTCTGAAAGTTCTTCGTTTGTTTTCATTGACATTATCGACTGTGTTGTATGTAATTTAAGAACTGAAGTTTTCAACCATTGTTTTTTTTTTTTTTT